CGTGGGGGTTTCTAGGCCTGAAATAGTATCTAAAATATTGGCATCCTTCTCTAAGTCGTCAGGTAGAATTGTGGCCGTTTGGGAGATCTTCCTCGATCAATGACCAAACCGATTCTTCACCGGGTATTCTCTGGAGTTCTCCTTCTCTCTGGATGGCGGATTGCAAGCGTGGGTTGGAACTGTTCCTGACCCTAAAGGCTTCAACCATTGGAGAGAAAAAGGGTGCACACGGATTCGACCAAGATGGAAGGGAAACAGCACTGTTGATAGGGGAGTTTTCTTTCGTCCAGATTTAAGCCTTTATTTTCTGTCTATTTACACGTCCTGTTCAACTTCTGATTTCAGCTATGTGTCTTGTGTATATTTTGCCTACATTGTGATATATCTTGTAATGCCTGCACTGTTGATTAATGGCTGAGATTCTGTTGATTACATTATTGTTAATGTTGGTTTCTGATATTGGTGTGGAATTTTTGGATGCAAATCGGTGTAATTACGGGCAATTGAATGCACTAGAACTTACTCAAAGTTCGGAGCTATATGTTAGAACACAATTTTATAATTTTTCCTTTTAATGAGGATATATTCATTTTAAATGTGAATTTTAAACTGACTAGAAAAATTAAAAGCGATGTTCAACTCCACATAATTTAAATTTTCCAATTTACTTAAAATATATTCCAATATATAAACACTGGATACCGGTAAACCTTTAACTCTTGCAAATATCGTGAAATAACATCATTAACCATGCTTCTGGTACAAAATACACTAAATATTTTATTAATCAAATTAAAATTTTGTAAAAGAATGTGCAATTATTTGTACAGCAGTAGGTTCACTTGTTGCAATGTGTTTAATAGCAAATTGTTTTTCACACAAGTCAACTTATCATTACTACTAAATATACGTATTGATTACTAGCGACAAAACACATAACATAAAAAATTAAAGAAATACTACCCCCATAGTTTAGGAAGAGTAACTTTAATTCTTATTTCATCTTGTCAAATATCTATACACAAGTGGCATTTACTTATCATTACTACTAAATATACGTATTGATTACTAGCGACAAAACACATAACATAAAAAATTAAAGAAATACTACCCCCATAGTTTAGGAAGAGTAACTTTAATTCTTATTTCATCTTGTCAAATATCTTTACACAAGTGGCATTTTCACCGGATCTTCGAAAACTTAGCAAGAAACTGAACAAATTATCTCCGTTCCAAGAATATGATGTTGAGTTAGTCATTACACAAAGTACTAGAAAAATATAAGTAATTATAAAATTTTATTTCCAAATATTGTGAAATCAGGAGAGTGATAATAATTGCAAAATTAGGAGTAATAGTTAGAAAATTATATTGTTAAATAGTTTAGAGCGAAATACTAGAGAGATTGTATAGGATAGAATGCTGAAAGAGAAATGTGATAGAATTTGATTTTCAAACGCATCTATTTATAGATCAAAATTAAAAAAGAAAAAAAATGAAGAGAAAAATCAAAATTTGATTGATCATGGCAACATGCTGTGCTGGTGAATGGCTCATACGAGTATTTTGCTGCTCGATTCACACCACCAGCTCGACGCCAAACCAATGAGCTGGTGAATGGCTCATACGAGTATTGAAATGCTATTTTTTAAAAGCTTTATGCATTTGGTACTTCGATAAATTATAACTTAAATATAACTAGTATTCAATATATTTATTAAATAACATTTCCATGTTTTAATATTTAACTAAATTTTGTTTAACCAATTTAAAATATTATAATATAACTAAATTTTGTACTTTATTTTTGAATTAATGAAACAATATGCTATTCATGTGATAAGTAATATTTATTTTGCCAAAACAATTTTTACCATAGTTGGTGCTTCAGGAAAAACAAAGAAACTGGCTCTCTATTTTGGTTCCATCATTAGCTAGGCTGGTTCTTTTGCTAGCAGAAGGCACTAAACTCGAATGAGTCCGGTTTGATTCCATTATTTTTCATTGGGTTCAATGTCTAAAATCCCAGTGTACCCGCTTCGGTTTGATTCTCTTTGGAACGTGACCGAACTGGACCCCTACGTTACCTGACAAGAATAAGAAAAAATTAGTCAATATTTCATGGAGGACATTTTGCTAAGCTTTATATGATTTAGCCTTTATTTGGTAGGTATTAAAATCTAAATTTTAATTTAAATTAATTTTAAATTTCATGAGACCTACAACTTTTCACCGATACATTTCATCAACTTTTATTAAGATTTACTAAAAATCTAATTTTAATCTCCACTAGATAGGCGCTTAGGGTACTTACTATGTCTATACGCACATTTAGTACAAAGTACAAGATAACATTGAAAGCACTAACAATAATAATTAGGGATGAATCAATAGGGTAGCATCAAAGATGGGAGAGTGCTACAATGAAAGCATTGAAGCACATCTATTGAGCAAGCACAAGAACAAAAGGAGTGTCTCCAAATAAATTACCTTCTCTTAATCTTGCAAGAGTGCTCCTCTTCCTTACAGTTGTGGTGAGAACTAATGGCTCCCAATCCCTGAAAGAAGTGTTCAAGTCAGTTTCTTTTTATAATCGACTTTGGCCAAGCTAATTATATTTTGAATAATGCTATCTTGAACCAACGGCGTTAAACATTAATATAGATGTAAGCATGGCATAGGTCTTCTTAAATGAGTCACTAATCCTTTTATTTTCAATTGAACTTATAATTTAAGATACAAATGATATCACCTAGATTCAGAGACGGATTTACAGTGGAGGCAATGGGGTCACCTGCCCCCACATTAAATTTGAAAATTCAATATTTTCTCCAAAATTTTTTCGAGATTTTCAAAAAAAGTCCTGGGTAGTTTTGAATTTTTGCTCCACACAAATCTTATCTTCTAGCTCCGCCCTACCCAAATTGGTGTTAAATATGAGTGTTGTTGAATATCATTACTCTTTTATTCTACTTCTGCCTCTTATAAAGGGTTCTATAGGATCCATCAATCATATAAGCTTCTCCAGGTTGCAAGTAATATTTGGCTCAATCAAAGTTGCTTTTCTCCTTCTTTTTTTTTCTTCACTAGGCGCCACACTCATGTATAAATATCTCTACTCATCGTCTTTCTATTCTATTATGAAAACGGTCTTAAAAAGTATTGTCTACAACTCTTTAGAATTTGTCTTTTAACTCTGTACGTAGGACTCTTTTCAATCACATAGAACCCCAAAGTCCAAACCAATGTAACCTAGTGCATTGCATCTTGTTCCTCAAGTCCTCATCCTTTATTGCTAATCAATTGGCACAATATGATTTCTAACATCTATTGCACTCCGCTATCATAGTTGTTCTTATTATGACTAAAATAGTGTGCAGATCAATGCCTAACAGGTCAGGCATAGGTAACATGGTTTCCGAATCTAGCCTCGATAAAGATTATTTGAAAAAAAAAAAAAATGTAGGTAACATGACTCTAAAAACGAATCTAGCCTCGATAATCTAGATTCGAATAACTTTCTGAACAAACTTTTATTATGTTGTTATTTTTTGTATTGGATGAATAGGACACTATCCCTTTTAAGAGAGAATTGTGTAGAAAAATGTTCTCAAAATTCAGCCTCAACGGCTTCCAGAGTTCCTTGTCATTCTGTACTTCTACTTTCCACAATAGTGACCACCAAGATATAGGTCGATTAGAGCATTTTCAATCGTGATGTAAATTGGCATCTCCATAACCACTTTTCCATTCTCATTTACATCCCGGTGGATCTAAATTTGTATTAGCAATAGAAAGATGTAAATCCACTTTTTGTCTTATGTGGACGTTTAAAAAAAAAAAAATCTGCCGGAAAGTGCAATGTGCATTTTCTTTTCATCTCTTCATTGAAGAAGTTTTTGACAACTTTAAAGATCTAAATCATAATTTAGATCTATTTTACACCATGATTGAAGATATTCTTAGAAATAATTGAAATTACTTTTTACTCCCTAGCAAGACCAGTAGAAAAAGCACTTTATGCATCTACTTATGTACAAAACAAATTATCATTGACTTTTACCTTATGAAATTTCCCTTTTTTGGTAACCTAGCCTATATTGATTTTTGGAAAGCCAAGTATTAGCACTCTCTATCGTGTTTGGTGCACATATCTACACGTTTTGTGCATGTTTTGCATAGATCTACAAAAATATAAGAGTGAGATACATCTTAAGAAAAAGAGCGGTAGATTAAAACTAACATGGTACGTGTAATTTACTGAGATTTAATTGTTTTAAATTTCCAAATAGATCTAACAATGAACTAAAAACAAAATGATGGATCAGGATTCGTGTACTCAAGTCCAAACTTTATTGGAAACATGACTTAGTTTCTTGTTATTGTTACATAAATCTTTCCTTTAGGTACATTATGTGAACGTGTTATCGTGTAAACATTGTGGCATTGACACTTGAGCAGTCATGGGTGCACTTAGCAGTTTTTTTTATTTCAATTATGAGAATTCTCAAATTTAGCCTCCGTTTGGTAGGCATTTTTGTGAAGAGAATGCATTTTTCTGGTGGATGTAATGGAGAATATGTGGTTGAAAAAGAAGGAAAAGTTATTGATATAATAGAAAATATTATTTTATTAAAGAATGTGTGATTGAAAATGAGTAGAAGAATGAGAATGAAAAGTATAATGCGGCTCAAATAGGGGCTTAATGCAATAACTTTTAGGTGCCTCCCCAACCCACCCCCACACCCACCTCTCTCTCTCTCTCTCTCATGCTGTAGATGAGCTCTCAACACCCAAAAACATTGTGACAATTGTGTGTGTTGAATGGATGCCTAACAAACTGCAACAAGAGGATTACCACCTCTCTTTTTTCTCTCTCCTCTCTCTTTCTTCATGAAATGTCACTCTTGTGAAACACACTTATATAAGGGCATTGCCTCACATCAACATAAACACACTCTCATTATCAATCAGCCACTTCCTCTTGTTTCTCCCCATTAATGATTCTTGATTGCTCATCGATGGAATATGTAAAAACTGCATTTGATGATTTGTGTATACTTGATGAGGAAAAAACAAAGGGGGGCAGAATGGAGAAGAGGGAGCACATTGATTCGGATGATGAGGACGATAAATACAAGTCCAATAACCTTGAAGCCGAGAGGAGACAGCGCAAGAAACTCAATGACAGGCTCTTAGAACTGCGTTCATCAGTCCCGATAATCACACATGCAATGATCCAAAACCTTGACAGTTTTTCCATTGCGAAATTGATTAATCATATTAATTTGCAGTACTTTTCATGCGTACATGATATTATATGTTTAATAACTAAAACTTAACTTCTGGACTTAACTTTAGATGAATAAAGCTACCGTAGTCACTGATGCTGTCACTTACATTGAGGAGCTACAGAGGCATGTAAAAGATCTTAGTCACCAACTATTCGAAATGGATGCAAATTTTGTAGAGGAAGAAGCGACGAAAATTGAAGAGATAGATTCAGCAGAAGAGATGAAGATATGGGGGATAGAAGTACTATGATTGTTAATTATGAACTATGAAGTTTTTATACTTTGTTTGTTCCCTTTATTTTCATCGATCATGGTAAATTATTATTTTTAATCTCTTTCAACAGCCAGAAGTTCAGGTGACTTCCATATACGGGACTAAACTTTGGATAAAGATCGTCTATCAGAAAACAAAAGGCAGATTTACCAAAATAATGGAGGCCATAAGTGTGCTTGGATTTGATATTACTGATATCAGTGTCACCACCTCCAAAGGAGCAATTCTTGTTACTTCATGTGTGGAGGTAAGTTTGATTCTTTTAATAAATAATAACAATCACTTGTTACAATTTGTCTGCTCATCTGTTTGCTAGAAATCATTTTCTTTTCTGGTAGTAGATTATAAGGTACGATCCTTGTATACAGTACACCAGATATCGAGCATTAGTACAGAATAATATTTTTGTCTCCTGCAGTATTTAGGACTAAGGTTTATAAACTTCTTTTTCACTCTAAAATTCAGGGAACTCAAGGTGGGCTACCTGATGTTGATCAGCTCAAAGACTTGTTACCCCATTTCAACAAGAGCATTTAAAGAAGTTACAATTGATCCAAAAACTAATAAAGATGATTATAATTTGATTCTTGCTTTTACGCGTGTTTTCTATTTAAGAATTTTTTGGCAGTCTTGAAACTGCTTCAAACAAGTGATCAAGATTTACCTGTTGATGAAAAATCCATTGTGAATCGAAAGAAATGAAAATTTTTACAAGAACAGTATCAGCATAAATTCTTGGTTAAATCAATTTTGAACATGATATCATGCACTGACAACAGAGTTGCTAAATAAGAGTAACAACATTAAGTCCAACCTTGTCTGCCAACCTTAATGTGGACTCTAACATGCTCTGTCAAATTAAATGTAAACATAGAAAAATGAAAATATATATATAATATTTGGCAGGTCGCAAGTTTTTCAGAATGACGAAAAATCACCTTGAAAATTAAGTTTAAAGCAAGTTGTGCAGCACAGAAATTTCGGGAAGAATATGAAGTATCAGTGGTTGTGATTCCATCAAACACCTTCCTTTATTAGCTGCAGATCCAAATGCATACCACATGGATACTTTTAAAAACGTGCAATTTTTTTATTTTTCAGTCTTAAAGAAAGACTAATGTTTTTCAAAGACTCAGTTTGTCCATCTTCTGGCAAAGACAATCAGTCTATTCTCTACTATATAACACAACTCCAGACCTGCATTTAGTGAACTAAGTTCTTGTCCAGGACTCGATATTTATTGTGGCTAGATTTCGATTTCGTTACATTATACTAGCCGAACTATTCGGTTCTTTGGGAAAAGGCATTGCGTTGAGAACTTCATTCGCCTTCGGGCCTATGCAAGTCGCAGTTTCAAGTCCAGCACCAGCGCCATCAGAAAACGGGGTTAATTGGAGGTCCAGTGGAGGTCCAGGAATCCCACTAATTAGGACGAATGTCGTCTGTCGCTGGTGGAGATGTGATTCTTGGACTAGCCATTGTTTCAGTTGCTGCCATTTTCTTCTTCATCCGAATCACCAGACAAAGCAGAGAATCTCATGCCTGAGTCGAGATTATCTTATCTTATCTTTCTAGTTCCATTCCGCGTATTTAAATTCGTTAGACTATCTTATTTTGAGATTTTTGAGTTGTATGCAGAATTCATTGAATTTTACAAACTTCACCTAAATTGTGGTGCTTTATATTTAAGTGCTGAAAAACGAAAAGTTCTATGTGATTTTTATAAAGCAAATAAGGTTATTTCTTGAATGAACAAGAGTTGCATCTTCAAAATCTTCTTATTTCATTCCATAGTTCTACAGTTAGTCTCCAGATTTTTCCAATCCTACAAGCATTAGATGAGAAAATCAATCCATTTACGTTCTTCAAGTTCCACAAAAAAGGCAAATCTAAGAATGCCTTGAACAAAACAAGAGAAAATTAGAACTGATAAAGAGGATTGATTATTCTTTTATTCCTCAAACTTCCAATTGGAGCTCATCCTAGCAAGATTCTTTTCCACCAGTACATCTGCATTCCAAAATCAATTTTATCATCTAGAATGAACAATTAAATAATATTTACTTAGTATTAAAAAGGAATAATTCAGAGAGAGAGAGAGAGAGAGAGAGAGGGTACCTTGAGGATTGCAAATAGGGGTTTCTTCAAAGAGAGAGAGAGATAACTTTTTAAGAGCCAATCCAATGTCAATCAAAATAATCCCAGAGGAAGGATCAGAAACAATTATATCCTTCACTGGTAACCATATAAAAAGCTCTTCTTGAGACAGACCATCCACTCCAGTGAGTCCACCATAGCTTAGATTAGCCCTCACAACACTGTCAAAAAACACCCTAGTCTCAAACTTAGCAACACATGGTGCCTCCAAGTACACTCGAAGTTGATCATGTTCATCAAGTTCATACGACTTCACTCCATTCTTGGGGAAAAGCCCTGCTGGCAAGCCTCTGCTTCTGAGGAGTTCATGAATGGAGCTTGAAGTGGTGGCTAAAGGATGGATGAGGAGTAGATACAGCATCAGTGTATGTATCATGGTGGGCATGAAGAGGGTGTGAAGAGTAGCCATGGTAGTGAAATGAGAAAGCTGCAAGAGATTTTAACAGGGTTTTTGGTGTGAAAGGTACTCGTACATGTATGTTCCCTAAATTAACCTAGTATGCATAATTAAGAGGTGGGGTAAGGGCGGGGTGGCTTATTATCGAAGAATACAGAGAGATGAACAAACTTCTTTGTAGACAACCCTTTGAAACAGCTGCAGCATTGTCTTGCCAGAATTGATTTTACCGAATTATAAATGATTAGAGATAGATAAAATTGACTAAGAAATAAGGGGCAATCTTGGTACTACAGTATTCAAGTGTACCAAACATCTTACATTTGGCTTAAGCTAAAAGATTGGTTGTGCATGAAAAACATATGATGGTGTCAGTACTCAGAAGAAGCTTCACATTTCTTTCCCTGCATATCCTTTGACGGAGACTACGAGGTTACACCTACTTTACAACTTTATCCTTCTTCACATACTGAAATTAATTCAATTTAATTATGAGAATATGCATAACAGTTTTGCTACACTGACAGATGTGATATACAATTAGATTGCTTATTTGAATAACACTCAATTAGACTGTTTATTCAAATCAATTATCAGAGTTTTTACACATCAACCAAGATGTCAAAAACGGATGTCAAAGGAGCTTTATTTTAGCCCAAACATGCATGCATTTTAACCATTTCTTTCTCTTTAAGACTTTCTAACCTTTCTCTAATAATGTATTGTTTCTGTCCTAACATTGATCTTCCTCTTCACTTCATTCTGTATTAATTCTTTTATCTTCTTTGTACTTAAATTTACCTTTTTTTTTTTTTTTTTTTGCATAAATCAAGAATGTTTTAATTTTACTTAATCCGTACTTTAAGCAAGTTTTAGAATCGGCTTATTAACCGCTTCACCCATAAGCTGGGTATTCATTAGTTCAGTTGTAAGACAAACTAAACGTTGGTTGTGAATCCTTAATTGTATCTGTACAATTTGTCGTATTCAAGAAGTCCAATACAAGTTATACAACTAGATTCTTCACATCCACAAGCTGTCAACATATATATGGTAATCCTCATTTATTCTAGATTTGGTGCCGATTATGCATAAAATCGGCAGAGTCAAATCATATACAGAAAGCAAAATGAGAATATGAACAATGTGGAATTTATCCAGATGAAGCATGAAAGCAAAGAAATATATTGACATAAGCCTTTCAAATGGAGTTGAATGAACTTAATGCAGCCATGAACTTTCATATTGAGGCTGCTGCACATTATAATAACCTCCATAGTTATGCACATTCTCCTGGTATCTTCCATCATTCCTCTCATCATAAGCTAATGGTGTACCGAACAGATAATCTGCAGCACTTTCCCATGGATTCCTTCTTCCTCCATGATCACAAACTGGGCAAATTTCATTCATTTTCTGATCTCTTTTGGCTAGGCAAGGCCAGTATCCAAATAAACTTTCACAAAGATCCATACATTCCAAACCAGAACCATATGGAATTTGACGAAATTGTCTCCCAATTTGCCCATTCTCAAATCCATTATTATGGTTGTATGGAGGCAATTCATCTCCTCTGTTCATGCCTAATTCTCCAATTTCACTGCCAACATCATCAATGTTAATCTTATCTCCATTTTCACTTTGGAGTTGTGGATCAGGTAATTCTCCAACTTTTTCACTGCCCACACCATCTAAGTCAATCTTGTCTACATTTTCACCCTGGGGTTGTGGATCAGTTTTGATTGCAATTTGTTTATCGTTTTCCCCATAAGGAGAAGGAATTGAGTTATATGAGAAACCTTCCAAAGCTGCACCTTCGGATTGTGGAGTCGAACGAGGATAACAGATTTGATCGGACGGAGGAAGGGGGCTGCCATAAGTTGCCGAAGGATCATAACCGCCACTGTAAGGAGTTGGATCATATTTATCAAATTCATCAATTTCATTGAATTCTTCAGTAGAATTATAAACTCGGGATTTTGTCGCAGATGAAAAAGAAACCCTAGCATAAGGAGGAGGCTCGTACTGAACAAGTTTAGGCTCACTGTAACTATAGACTGAGTAATTTGAATCAAATCGAGATTCAAAACCATCATAGTAATTGGAAGAAGATGAAGAAGAATCATAATATTCAATCGGCTCATATGGGATCAAATTAGGCACGTTTTCAT